AAAATCGTGTCGTTTCACTCCATCTAAAAAAAGACATCGACAATATGACACACATCTCAATGAGCCATTGAGATTCACGATGCCATAAACATTTTATACAACGACCATTTCTTTTATCTGATTTGTAATTCCAAGACCCCTCCCCTTTTTTTTATTGTAAACGATTTATCGATGCCTTAGCATTTTTGGAACAAATAAGATTGCATTTAAAAAAAATATCCACGTTTTTCTTTTTTTAATATTATACACTTTTTATTGCTAAAAATGCATTGGAAGCGAAGAGACAACCGTTTTTAAACTTATATTTATTTTTGTAATTGGGTACTTGCACTTTATGAAGAAGACCTCCCATACCCACACACGTGACCTATGACGTCAGCACCAGCTAATCTTTAACAGCAATATGGCGTATTAAAGTTGAGCTAAGTTTCTCTACATAAGTTTTAGAATGTTCATTAAAGATAAGTTAATTAAATACAGAGCCATATCGCACTACGAAATAATTTAAATAAAATTCATTCTCGTCCACTTCTTTTAATTAACTTAAAATTTATTATTTGTTTATGTATTTTATAGTAACCGTGATATATTTTTGTTCATCTGTCAACTTTGATGCATAATAAGTTTGTTTATGTTCTACATGGCTTCGTGTCTATCGTTAAGACGCTGTGTAAATACATAGTGAAAAAACTGAAATCTTTGAGAAAGATTTTTTGTGAAAGAATTTAGAATGTGTCACTTATGAGAATTGATACGTGACGGGCTTAGCTTACTCGAATTTTTTTTTTATTTCCATTGACAAGGCATATTACATTTATAAAAACAAGCCAATGCGAAACACTGAGCAAGCAATTACAAATACTGACCGAAGTCAATGAAACCTCAGGCGTTCTCAAGCTCTACTCGAAATAGAATGGAAAGAACAGTTGTTACGTAAATAAATGCCACGTTTCAACAATTAATCAGGATCGAGACACTACGTCACTTGCAGGTATCCCCATTAGATTGGATCAAATTTGTTAACAATAATGGATAGGATATTTTTTTAAAAATCATATTGGACTAATTTAAGTAAAATTGAGGGACCTGGCGGGTCTAAAAATACTCGTAATAAAATACAAAAATTGTATAGTGTAATTGAAATTGAATGAAATGAGAATGAATGAGAATTAAATGAGAATCATCTTATATCATATATATGTTACCGTGAATGACCGCGAAATCAAGAGAATGTCGACTTTAAAAGGGGGGAATGTCAACAATCACACACATAGTCGCTTTGGTGAATGTCGGAAATATTTTTTATATCCGATTTGATATTAATTTATTTGTTGATATTATTCTATTTATTCGATATTTTAATATCTGGTCAGTATAGATTGGGAGAAACATCAGTGTTCGAAGTAATGGTTGAATGCATACTGGGCAGTGGCACTTGACTTTAAAAAAATATTGATGTAGGGCATATTGGTAAAACGTATACTGGGCAGTGGCATTTAACTAGACCTAGTATACATTTCGGACATTTACCAAAGCGACTAGGTGATTGTCAACATTCATCAGTGGAAGTCAACAAACACCAATTTCGGTCATTCACTTGACACATAAACTTGCCCGGAACATCTTATTAAATGGAGTCTGATTTCATGTTTTCTTAAAATGCCACTAAATACCTTCATCCGCGAAATACTTCAATTATGGGTAAGTAATTTATGTTTAGAAAGGAAAATAAATAAAACATAACAATTTTCTTCTCGAAAACATAATAGTATAATACTATGAGGAGCTAGAAATTAATTATCAAAAAACAATAAAATCAATCCAAATTTACGAATCAAGCTACACGTACGAATCGTTGTAACGAATCAAGCTGCATTAAAGAAACAGTTTTTTTTTTTTTATTTATTTTTTTTATAAAAACCTATTTGACAACCACACACACACTAAGCAAAATAAAATTAAAATACCCGTTAAAGGGTAGGGAATAACCCTGCAAAATAAATGGTAACAAGTTAGTATGAACCTTAAATTCTCAACAACTCTCTGCTGTTCCATAAATTGTCTCGTTCTTTTATTTTTAATTCATCTCGTTATACGTTTTTTTTTTCTTCTTTCATTTATGCTTCTGTTAGCCAAATATTTTTAAACTTTAAAAGGTGTTTAAAACTCCATATCTCATCTTAACATTTTAATTTTAATTAGGTAATACCTTACTAACAAACCATCATTAATTACAATCGATAACTATCAAAAATTTTTCTCGAAAAATTCATGCACAAAATAATTCACGAATTTAAAAAAAAATAAAATCTTTCGAATAAAAAGTATTACGTCCTTTTTGCATCAGTCGAATTCATCTCTCGTTAACAATAATGGTTTCAGCTTTACCTTTTTTCTCAGTTTTTCAGCATGGGAAAAAAAGGGGGTAAACATACAAAAACACCGCAGCGCCATAAATAGCAATTAGCAAAAATGGCGCTGCATCTATTTTTGCGGTAAACCCATCAATGCGGGTCGTTATTACAGGACAACAAATACACCGCAGCACTTAAGTTAGTCCAATAATTCATTTACCCCCAAATATCGGGGGTAGCCGCAGTCTGGGAAATAAGGTCCCAAATAGAGGGCGGTCAAAAATTTGGACCCGTTAATGTTAATTTAGTTTTTTGAGCATTTCGCCCTATATCGAGAACTTTTAAAGCGAATTCAAAAGATTTTGTACACAATTATAAAATTCATTTATTTAATAACAGCCGGAAAAAGTTTGATTTGTAAGGTTATACAAACTTTAACATTATTTAAAACAATGTATTTTCATATGGCAGGATGCAAATTTTGAATAAAATCTGCAGAAAAGTTTGAGAAATCGAATTGCAAAATATCTGACTATACTATCAACTTTTAAATTTAGTTAAAAGCACTGTGCGTTGACTTCTGATATAAATATTTTCATTAGATAGATTATGGTAGACAGGACTATTTTGTTACTGCAACATAAAACCTAACGATAAAATACTACCACTTTTACCTTTTTTGAAAGACCGCTAGGCACAAATGGGCTCAAACGTTTTGATGGACGAATACTCATTATACTCGTTTGAAGAAATTGATTGAAGTTTCACTATACTCGAATACTGACATCAGATTTATGATGTCTTCTAATGCTACCTGTCGTCGAATTAATGACGTTTTCAATTATAACTTGTTTCAACCGTCGAATTTAAGAATTTTTTTAAAATTACTTCTCTATTTAGTCTATGAATATATAGTGTTTCCACAATGCTACTTGTGTTAGAGCTGTATACTACGAATCTGTGTATCTGTCTATCACGAGTAATTAGACATAAAAACCAAGAGGATTAAACTATTAGAACATCAAATTGAAGAAATAAAATGAGAGCTAAGGAAAACAAAACAAAATAAAGACTTTGGAGGGTAAATAGAAGGATTAGAATAAGAGTAGTGTTTAATGACCCATGACCTTAAAAAAAAAAAAAATAAATAAATAAATAAAGGAAGGCATACCGTGCCAAACTTAAATGTCCATACGTACTCAATGGAACGAAAGTAAATAGTGCAATAAACGAAATTTGACTTCGGAAAGAAAGAAGATGAAGAAGAAAGATTTGGGGTCGCAGACATCGTAATTCTCAGAAAAAGATAATTACTCTCCCTTTCTATCCAAGGATATCACTAATTTGTCTTGAATTACTATAATGAGCATCATTTTTTGAAAATTGACTCTGCTAATTTCAAAATCTTTAAACGTTTCCTTCATTTCTGTTTAGAAAAAAAAAAGAAAGAAAATTTAAAAAAAAAAAAAAAACATGGAAGATTTTTTTTTTTTTTTTTTTTTTAAGAATATTTTTGGAACCACGCACTGACCTAATCATTGATCCATTCAAAGGTTTTGGCAACAATCATTGGATTCTCGTTGATAATTGTTGCATAATGTACGAAATATTTTACACATTGGGGATTTTAGGAATTTTTAGGGTCATCAAAATGGAAAAACTGCAATACTTTCCAGTCATGAATGACATTAAATGAATTTGAAATTAAAAGATAATTTTTAACTAATTTAAAAAGGGAGTTCTGAATAAAAACAAACTGAACCTTTCAGAACAAAAAAAAAAGCTTTAAACTGATTTTTATACGTGAGGCCCGCTTCATCGTCTATTAGTAATACGTATTTAAATATTCAATTAAGCAAGTATTTGTGCAAAATTGCTATTCAAAAGGGATTTTTTTAGGAAACTTACTCAATTTTAAGGATTTTTCTAAAAATGTACATAAACGAGAATTTTTATTAAACCAGTAGAAACGGGCAAAATCCAGTAGTCTACTGGAATATCCAGTAGAGTTGGCAGCTATGACAGGGTGCTTAGCCAAATCGTTCAACAAAAACAAGCACCTCTTAAGTACTTTTTAAGCACTATGTACATTAAAAAAATGCTAAGACTTCATATGATCATAATAAAATAATTAATTTTGGGAACTCTTTTCTTGATTATACTAGCCACCATAAAAAAAAATCGAGATTTTTCAGTTCGATTTCAGAGGGTAGAAAATGAAGGCTGAAATAGAGAATATTAAAATGAGAGTGCATGAATCTCACCAAACCCAGCTCTGTATACGCACATGCGGACTCGCAAATATTTCATCAAACACGTAAAATGATTGACGCTTTCATACGCTACTGACCGACAGTAAGCCGAAATGCACCGTGTTTGAATGCGAAAACGTTAAATAGAACAAAATGAAAACCACAGTTCTGCACAATACGTGACGAAAATCGACATGGTAAAGAAGGAAAAAAAAAATCTTATTTTCGAAAAAGGAAAATTAAGTACTTTTTAAAGACACCCAGTAAAAAAAGTACCTTTAAGAGCTTTTAAAAAATGAAAATAAGCACCTTTAAGCACTTTTTAAAAATGCTTACGCACCATGTATGAATAAGTAAGATTTAAAAAAAAAAAAACAATATTGAAAATGCATACCTCGATGATGCCTTAGATGACCGGAAGCGGCCCATGAATACCACCGGTGCCCACCGCCAATACGGTGCGCTACGGTACAGTGGCAATAAAGCACCACTAACACAACGAAAAGCTTGCACACAAACATGAGAAGACGTAAGAATCCAGACAATGGTGGCAATCTTCTGTCACCACAAGATCTGCGGATCCGTCATGACTATCCACGCGGGTGCTAGCTACACAGCCGGAACGGCGTTCCGTCACAACCACCTACCTATCGGCGAATGAAGAGACGAAATCGCAACACACGCTACTTCCTTTGGCAGATGAGCGCCCTGTACAAGAGGGGGCGCCCCTTCTTCGATCGATCCTCTCTCTCTCTTTGCAATCCGTTTCCATACGCCCCACGAAGCCCCCTATCGTACAAGAATCGCGTGCGCCCCATCTTTCACCTCCTCATTCTGTGTCATATCGTTATTTCTAAACCTCTCCATACCTATTATTTATTTTACCTCCGCTTTTTTTTTTTTTTTTTTTTNTTTTTTTTTTTTTTTTTTTTTCTAAAAAAGCTCTTAGAAAAATAAAATTCTGTTTTTTTTTGTTCTTCCTCCGCGACTCACTGTCCGTTGAAGAAGAATCTGAAACATTTCATTCACGAAGCTTTTTGTGCTCCGTTAGTACAAAAGTTTTTTTTAAATTTATTTACTTCCCTCATCGAAATTTTTATCTTTTCTTTTTCTTTTCTTCCTATAAGCGATTAAAACCAAGAATTTAATCACCTATAGTCCAGTTCTTTAATATCAAAAGCACTTTCAATTTCGTAAAAAGCAGAAAGTTAGCAAAAAAAGAAGGGGGAAAAAAGCGATTTCGTAGTGATTGGTATCGGGTTTTTTATTTTAAATATAAAATTATATTTTATTCATAAAATGGCGAGATATTTGTCGTGCAAAAATAAAACAGCACGAAAATTATGTTCTAATATTCAATTATACATGGATTGTTTTGATGTAAATCAATCGCAAACAGGATTAAGATTATAGACTTTTACTTCAACCTTTTCAGATTTTTCATCTTCAAAACAAGTTGAATATCCGCAATCAGATAAAAATAGTCGCAATGGTCCTGTCAGCAGGGAGGTATGGTCCCTCTAATACTAATTTCCCTTTTTGCGTATTTTGCCATATCTACAAAATTAATGAAGCAGGAAAAAAAATATGCAGAGTTAAAACTTCATTAGTCAAGGATAATTTCATTAAAAAAAATTTTTTATTATTTTTATAGCCTTTTTCAGGGTGCGTAGTCAGATTTTTAACAAAAAATAAGCACCTTTTAAGTACTTAAAAAATATTTTAAGCAATTTCCACAAGAAAAAAATTCATAAATAGGATATGTGCAATAATAAATTTTTTTTTTTTCAACCATTGAAAGTTCTTATTTATTAACATGAAACGAACAAAATGCAAAACATTTTCAAAAACTTTACATAATCATGATAAAATAACAAATCTCTGATAAATATTGAAGAGAAAAACTAGATGAGTCAATGATAATTTCATTAAAAAAAGTAATTTTATAATAATTATTTTTATAATATTTTTGTAACAGTTAAAGTGAACTATTTCGTATGTAAGTAAACTATTTCGTTAAATACTAAGATTTCGTCATTTATAACAACATTTTAAAATTGCGTAAACATTTGTGCTCCTTACAGTTACATTTTTTTACAATTATAAAACAACTATTAGTTATATTGGTCAAAATATATAATCGTCAATATATATTTTCAATTATTTGTTGTTTTTTTTGTTATCATAATTAAAATAATGATTAAAAAAAAAACAAATAATTGCGTATTAAAATAAATAATGCTATAGTAAATGAAATAGTTTAGTATAGCAGAAATATCATCCTTAAATATTCCATAGATTGCGCTTAGAGCAGTCACCACTTTATAACAGACGAAAATAAGAAACAAAAATTCCCTGTATTCTCCCAGTTGGTACAGAAAAACTCAAAACTCCCCTATTACTTTAGATGATTTTTTAATTCCTCGTATTTTCCAGGTTTTTCCTATAGAATGGTAATCCCAGATAATACATTTCTTTTTTATATGTCAGAGCAACGTAAGCATAAAAATAAATAAATAAAAAGAGTATTGAGCGGTAGGAGGTTTAGTTGACATTTCATCGAAGCAATTGGTTCCTCTCACTCTATTAAGTGTCGTAATGGATTGTTACGAAATGTGCTCAGCGTTTACGTGAGTTCAGGACATCGATCTAACTACAACCATGGCAGCGTAGGAGTCAGTGCATGCTCCATGAATAATTGCCGGCGTAATTTGCCAACATCGAACAGACGGTGTCGTGACTTCGACCATCAATGGGCCCCACACACGCCTCAAATCTCTCTCTCTTTTTTAATGTCCGCCATTGTGTAAAAATAATTTCAAATGTTGTAGTTTTGGAAGGTAAATGGATTGTATCTCGTTATGGTTAGAATAAATGGTCGAAGTTCACGGAAATGTATTCTTAAACCGTTTTCATGTCTTTTTCGATGGGGATCATTATTCACTCTCTCTCTGTGTAAGGGTTTTTCTTTAATTAATGTATGTTAAATGGTTTAAATCAGAACTCGAAAGAAGAAAAAAAAAATCTCAAAATCGTTACATGACCAGCCGAATGCTTTTACAAATCCCAACAGTGTTTTTCGAATGCATATTAATGAACGATTGATATTAAAATCATCACTGAACATTTGGCTTTAAGACTACAAATGTTCAACTCCGTAGCCTTGTCATTTCCCAGAAGACAAGGGAATTCCTGGATCAAGTATTGGGTGAAATTTGCCTTCGTGAAGGACTTTGCGATGGAGCTAACCCGCATTTGCGTTACATGGAGAGGAAAAACACGAAAACCTATAACAGTTAGCCTAACGGCAAGGGGACTCTAACCCATGATTCAACTACCCCTCAGGATATTTTTACGTCAGCACTGCGATGCAAGCCGGGTGCGGAATTCGTATCAATCAGTCATAGCTGGGAATCGAACCCGGTTCACCTCAGTGGAACGAACGCGCTATCCCCTAAGCAACATCACGGCTCGAACGATAACATTTTTTTTAATATTTTATAACACTCATTGAACAGCTGATCCAATTTTCGGGTTTACGAGTACCAATGTTCCACTAAGTAGCCTTGTAATCACGAAACCAATCCAGAAGACAAGGGAACTAACTCCTGGATCAAGCATTCGGAGAAATTTGCCATCGCGGAGGACTTTGTGATGGAACTAACCCGCATTTGCGTTACATGGAGACGAAGACCACAAGAACCTCCCCCGGTTAGCCTAACGGCAAGGGGACCCTATCCCATGATCGGTCTACCACCAACGATTAAGCTTACTTTGAATATAAACAGAGGCAGAAATAGAAATGCACAATCTGTGTGGTGTCTCCCAATGGGAAGAACCGGGTTCGAATGCCAGCGATGGCTGGTTGATTCGAACTCCGCACCCTGTTCGCACCGACCACAGTACTGACGTAAAACATCCTCAATGGTAGACGGATCGTGGATGAGTAACCGTGGGACGTTTTCCTCTTCGTGTAACTCAAATGCTGATTAATTCCATCATTAAGTCCACGAAGGCAAATTTCTCCAAATACTGGATCCAGGAAGTTCCCTTGTCTTCTGGTTTGGATTCAAGGATACGGAGTTGAACATGGATAGTCGTAAACTGAAAGATCGATCGGGTGTTAAATGACGGTCATAAAAATAAAATAAACATTACACTACACTTATTAGAGTAATTGATAATGAGATATTATGGTAATTTTTAGCAACTTCATCAAGTATTTATTCTAAGAAAATGTACCTTTACTGCTCTACTGATTTGTCAAGAGATGACACTAATCAACAATAATCAATTGCTTACCTGTAAAGAAAAAGAAAATAATATTAACGCTGGGTATAAATGAATTCTAACAGTAACGAATATCATGAAAAACTTGTCAAATATAATCAGTGTAAAAAATTAGATAAATTGGCAATATCTTAAAAATGCTACGAAATTTTAATTTTTACAAACACACTGCAACACTATACCCACCACTTGAAAATAAGTTTCGATAGACAGGTTCATACACATAATCGCAATTTCTACACAACATTAAGTTGCGAGAATGATACATAATTGGTTCATAATTGCATTCATGATACACAATTTTATAAAAGTCGTTATAAAATTTATGTATCATGATTTTATAATATGACGTCGTCATCTTATAGTACGTTTCACCTTTGTTTGTTTAGACATTGAGTTAATTTTTTTATTTTATAACCGTAGTTGAACAGCCGACCCTACTTTTGGGTTTACGACTACTAATGTTCAACCCCGTAGCCTTGTCATTTTGTACCCAATCCAGAAGACAAGGGAGCTCCTGGATCAAGTATTGGAAGAAATTTGCCTTCGAGGAGGACTTTTTGATGGAACTAACCCGCCTTTGATTTACACGAAGAGGAAAGAAAGGAAAACTTCCCACGGTTAGCCTGACGACAAGGGGACTCTAACGTATGATCCTTTTAACCACTGAGGATATTTTAGGTCAGCACTGGTCGGTGCATTCGACCAGCCAGAGCTGGGAATCGATCTCATGGCAAGGCGAACGCTCTATCCCTTGAGCGACCAGGGGTCTATATTACATAATGGCAACTAATCACATGGCTATGTCGAATCAGGTGGTTATGCAAAGCGTGTTAACGTTAGAGCTTAAAGACTTGGGTTTATAATTACGCCGATTCAATTTTCGGATCAGATTAAATTGGATACCTGCAAATGACGTCACACGTGTCAGTCGAACCTGACTAGCTGACCCACGCGTGACGTCGTTTGCGAATATCCAATCGACAATTATAAACACATATCCTTCAAATGGCACTAAACAAATTAAACAGTTCATTATTATTTTTTTTAAATATGAAAGAACGTATTATAATAGAGAGTCAAATCCAAAAACATCCAATTAGTTATTCCTTCAATTTTCTACAACGGAAACAGGTTGTTAAAATAGTTTTGAACTGAGGGGCAAAAAAGTATAAACTCTACAATTAAGAACATAAAAAAAACTACGAAAGAGAAAGAAAAAAATTAACACGATTTCGAAGCAATTCAGCTTTTTTTTTCCCCTCTTCCGGACGATAATTTGTATTACAAGACAATAATTCACTCCCATTTCACCTCAAAGATAACCTCACACCCCAAAGCTTACTTTTTTTTTTCCATCATCTTCTCATTCCTGTGAATAAACGAGATTAATTGCTGTGACTCTCCAGAAACAAGACATCAGGTCTTTTTTTCACAAACACAATGTAAATAAAAAAAACGAAATAAACTGGGAAAACGCGCAGGCTATAAAAGCGATCCACCTCCGCGCAGCCTTATGTTTACGCCTCCATCTTTTTTATGCCCTTCATTTTCATTCGCGGAATTCATGTATAAATATATGCATGGCACATATACGTTCTTTT